TTAATATAAGAAAGATCGTAGGGCTGTTGCAACCTGTTTTCAAGAATGTCCTAAACACCCACGCCTTTGGCTTTGTTACTGACCCCAATTGTTTTCCTTGCATTGGAGAAAAGACCTTTCCTATCCGATTCACTGTACAGTGGTTTTGCAAAGGCAAGGCATGACCAAACTGCCAATTAAAGAGGTCACTGATACTGCCTCTGATGAGGAAAAAAATAAGTAAAATGCCCAATTTAGGACATAGGACGTCTTTGAATTATTTGGACTGAAAACCTGTTGAGCAAACTGAAAATCTCAATTTTGTGATCTATTCAAGTCATTTTAGCAGAAGTATTAATGGAGCATAGATGTTTTCTTCAGTTAACCTGAAAGATGAACAAACCCCCAAAGAAGTATGAACTTTTTCTTTAAATGTTCCGAGAGCTTCTGTAAATCTTTATGGGAGCAGAAAACCTCATCCCCCAGAGCCCCGCCCCACCCATTAGTTTGTGAGCCCAATGCTTAATCCACTATATTACCTGGGTTTCTCTCCAAAGCTTCTTAAACCGAGTCATGACTTTGTGTGGGAGTGCAAAAAAATTGGCAACAGCAAAAGTTTTCTGAAGATGCAATGACCAAATACTAATTCAAAATTTATGTATACTAATTAACCCCAAGGTGTTTCTGGCAGTAATTGCCCATATTGTAAATTCCTAAGGCAAAATGGGGTCTAGAGTGAAAAATATTTAAGCCCCACTCTATACACTAGGGATCCTCATAATATTACCCTTTTTGGTAGTTTCTCTGTGCATTGAGGTCTTGACATGGTACAGACCTACTTGGTAGAAACTATTTCTCAAGTCACTAAATCATGTCAAGTAAAATTCTTGTTACTATTTGCTAGGTTTTTCTCAAGGTGATATACAATTTGAGAAACACTATAGCTTAAAGCAGGAACCTAGCTTAAAGATATATTTATAAACGGAAACTATTTTAATAAACAGTAAGAACCCGAAAGTATCAGACCAGAATAAACTGTTAGGATTTTTTTAAAACTAACATAACAACCATTTGTTCCTATACTGTTTAGAACTTTTGTTTTCACTTAATGCATTAACTCTGGGAATGAGTTGAGTTGCGAAATTACTGGATATTCACTAAACCAACCTAAATGAAGAAAATTTCAATGCAGTACAGACCCAGAAATTTTACTTATGCAGTTTGTAAAACAAAGCAGTATCTGATCAATGTAACCCTAGTATAAACAATTGCAAATTCTGGAGGGTCCAAATACAGCAGATAGCTGATTTTTACCATTTTCTCTCTTGATTCTACTGCAGGCCAATACAGGCACTATGACTTTTCCAACTTACAGTGATGAAATAAAGAACAGCATTCCCCAAGTGTGAAATAATAGTATGCCTGGGGAAACCTTTGGTAGTGATACTCAACTGCCCTAAGACATAATTTTGATAGCTAACTCAAACAATGCACTATACATTATAGAAATGTTTAAGCAAGTTTGGTAATAAGACTTCATTCCAAAAGGCTGCTGTTTGAAATATTAGTAAAAAAACAAAAACAAAAAAACCCAAAAAACTCACTGCCATGGAGTTGATGCCTATTCAAAGCAACCCCCATAGGACAGAACATTACTGTCCCTGATTTTCTGAGACTGTTAACTACAGGAGTAGAAAACCCCGGCTTTCCTCCTGCAGGGCTGCTGGTGGGTTTGAACTGCTGACCTTGCAGATCACAGCCCAATGTGTAACCACTACCCTGATGTGACCAGGGCTCTAGATGATCTTTAATAAAAAAATTTCAACTTTTTATAACTTTCCCATACATATACACCTTTGACTTTCTCAAATTTTTACTCAAGGCATTGATACATGCATAATTCATGGCCTCACTACAAAATTATTTCCCTAGACCATGGCAGGTGAAAGCCTTTGGATTAGAATATTAATAGATTTCACTATACATTTCATATAAATTGCTTCATTCTTAAACAACTAAAGTACTATTTGCAATTAAAACTT